ACTACAAGGGCATCTCCAGGGAAAGCAATCCAAGCTATCTTGCCTTTGTTACACCCTGGATCAAGTATGACTTGCACTCCGACCACCTTATTAAATTTTGGGAACAAGTTTGGGTTGGGGATTTTCCTTTTAAAAAACAGTTTCCGACTCTCTTTGCCATCTCTACCTTCAAGAATGAATCGATATCCACCTTCCTTGTACCATCTAACTCGACCTTTGGGTTTGGTTGGAATTTGGGACTGAAAAGAGACATCAGGGACGCAGAATTGGACAGCACGTTATCCTTATTATTCATCCTTGATGGGGTTTTCCTGGAGCCAACAAAGGTAGACAACAGAATTTGGACCCTCTCTCCATCTGGTACCTTTACTTGTGCTTCTTTCTTTAAAGCCATAACACAATCGGTTGTTACTATTGGTCTGTCTTTTCCTATTAAAGAGGTATGGCGTCAACCTATTCCTCCGAAGGCGGGAAGTTTCAGTTGGGAGGCCTTCCTGGAAAGAGTTAATACAAGAGATTTGCTTCAAAGAAAAAGGCCCAATAGATGTTTGTCTCCTCAATGGTGTGTCCTCTACAAAGTTGTTGGTGAGTCTAGGATTCACTTACTAATTTATTGTCAATTTGAAAACTTTATTTGGGAATGGTTTACTTATTTGTTTGGGTGCATGTGGAACTCTCCAACGAATGTGCAAAACTTGTTTACTTCCTCTCCTTCTAACTGGCCAACAAAAAGGGCAAAGATTGGTGGATTTGAGCCGAGCCAAATAGCTAGCTATTCGAACTCGACTCGCCAAGGGAGTATGAGGCTCGAGCTCAATTCAAGCTAGAACCTTGAGCTCGAGCTCGAGCTCGGCTCAAGCTCGACTTAAGAAAAATGTTTTATAAAATAAAAAAATTATATATAAAAAATATTTTTATTTGATATTTAAAAAATTAAGAATTATAATAATTAGTTATTATTATATATAAAAATAAACATATTATATATAATATTTTTATTATATATTTTATTTTCTATAATTTTATATTATTGTTATTATTATTATTATTATTATTATTATTATTATTATTATTATTATTATGTAGCTATTCGAGCTCGGCTCAATTAATAAACGAGCCTATAAATTGGGCTCGAAGCTCAGTTGAAACTGAGCCAAGCTCGAAGAGCTCGTGAAGAGCTTGGCTCATGGCCACCCCTAGCAAAGATTATGTGGAGATGTTAGGGCTGCATGTACTGGTCTATTTGGGAAGAAAGAAACTTAAGGATCTTCTTAGAAATGGAGAGAACTGTGGAAATAGTGATAGAAGTGATACATGTAAGGGTAATTCATTGGTTAAAAACCTTGGATTTGCAGAAATTTTAGTAGATGATCTGATTAGGAACTAGAAGGAAATTGCATATTCAGCCTCAATTAGGAAGGTTCCAAGCTCTTATTGGACCCCCCCCCCCACCTCTTGGATTTATCAAACTGAATTTTGATGGCAACAACAAGGTCCATCCAAGGCCTTCCGGAATAGGGGATGTCATGAGGGATGAAAAGGGAATGTGATAGCCATGTTTTCTGGCCCAACTGGAATAGGAGACTCATTGAGGGCCAAGATTTTAGCAGCTTTAGAAAGGGTTCAAAGAGCTAAGGATTTGCACATAAACAAATTGATTATAGAAGGAGACTCTAAGACTGTAGTGTACTGGTTAAAAGAAGACAACTCAAGACTTTGGAGCTACAACAATGAAAAGAGGAAATACAAATGGTTGACCAAGGACATGGAAGTTCGACGCACATGGATAAAAGAAGTGCAAATTCTTTTGCAGATGGCTTAGCTAGACAAGGGGTGAATAGGAGTTCTGTTTTTTGGGCTCAGTTGTAATTGCTTTTGTGTTTTGGGTGTTTAGTGGCAGTTGTGGGGAGTTAAGATATTTTAGCTCCCTTCTATGTATTTTCACTCCTCAATCATTTAATGAAATCTCTGTTATTGATCAAAAATAATCTTCATCCTTGATCACCCAAAACCCCTCTACCCCACAAAGCCCACCACCAGATCTTAAATTAATAGRACCCTACCCATTCCTATGCCAGATAAGGAGGCTAGATTTTTTTTCTTTTTTTGAGAAGAGGTAAAGTATAATTTCATTAAGATAGAAAAGCCCATGTACAACTAGCTCCCTTCTATGTATTTTCACTCCTCAATCATTTAATGAAATCTCTGTTATTGATCAAAAAAAATCTTCATCCTTGATCACCCAAAACCCCTCTACCCCACAAAGCCCACCACCAGATCTTAAATTAATAGGACCCTACCCATTCCTATGCCAGATAAGGAGGCTAGATTTTTTTTCTTTTTTTGAGAAGAGGTAAAGTATAATTTCATTAAGATAGAAAAGCCCATGTACAACTAGCTTCTGTCCAATCTTAGTTGATCTATTGACCAGGAAAACAGTTTGCCCGCTATTTTTTGCCACACTTCCTCAATTTGATAGCCTTTTTTTGTTTTGAAAAACCCTTTAGTTTCTTTCCTGCCATACAATCCAAAACACTGCTCTTGGAATCATTTGCCAAATGGCTTTTCTATTCTTGTTTAGGCCCTGGATCCACCACCCTTTCACAAAGTCTTCTACAGATGTTGGGCAGCATCTATTGAAAGTAAAAAGGCTTGAACACTTTCACACAGATGTTGTAAGTGAAGCTGCAATGCAATAAAAAGTGGTTTATAGATTCTTCCACCCTGCTGCATAGGACATATTCTGCTGCATCAATCCCCGCTCCTCTATTTAACAGGTTATCCTTTCAGTGTTTTAAAAGCGCAAGGAGCAGGGACCAATTTGTGCGTAAGGCACAAAAATACAAAAAAAAAAATGCTAAAAATTAAAAAAAAATGTCATAAAATTAAAAAAATGCCATAAATTCAAAAGAAATGCAAAAAAATAAAAATATTAAACATAATATTAATAAAAATATAAACTTAAATTTTAAAATAAATGTTTTAAAAAACCTATTATCTAAAATTAAAATACATAAACATAACATGTAAAGCATATTCAAATGAAAAGTTAAAAATAAAACCTATTATTTAAGTAGGTAGACCATACAAGAAACAGGCTACATTTGAAGGTGTGTATTTGCACAAGATTATCCCCATAGGAAACTCATGCTCTTCTTCCCAAGTCAACTTGTTATAGGAAGATTTTACAGTAGAATTCCCAAATTTATCTTCCAACCACAGTCTTCTACCTTCTAAGCTAGGATCCATTTGCATGCTATAAAGCTTCTGAAGTAGGCCTCTAAAGATCAATGTTCAGAGAACCAGAGCATAGAACCGGAGAAGGGAGAGGTTCACGGGTCAGAGGTTCAACTGGGATCAAACCGGAGATTCAACCATGATGACATGGCATATACATATACATATATACTATGGGTCATAAAAATATAATATATTTTACAACTTTTAATGTACTTAAATATGGTGGATGTAGTATTTTAAAAGCGTGAGGCGCAAAAAAGGCACAAGGGTCAATTTGCACCTGAGGCACAAGGCGAGACGCACACCTTTTTAAGCAAGGTGCAAAAATTAAAAAAAAAAAGCTAAAAAATAAAAAAAGGTCAAAAAATCAAAAAATTATAAAACATAATATTAATAAAAATATAAACTTAAATTCTAAAATAAATGTTTTAAAAAAACTATTATCTAAAATTAAAATACATAAACATAACATGTAAAGCATATTCAAATGAGAATTTAAAAATAAAATCAAACATATAAAACATTTCCAAGCATATAAAACCCACAATCTCTTTTTTTCTCAATAACATTACTTCAAGTAGCTAATGTGACATATTACATTCCTAATTCTACAAGCCACCTTTGTGCCATGCCCCTCGAGGCAAGCCCAAATAAGTCCATGTTAGGGTCTTAAATTCTTAGTTTTCACATAAAAAATAATGATTTTATAGTTTTAATTGCTTTATAAGAAGATACTTTATTAGGATGAAAGAATGGACAACATTACCAAATAGGGGGTTCTCGAAGCTTCGGTGAGCGAGCGAAGCAAGCGAATAATGTAATATGTATAATAAATGACTGGGTGGATGGATGGTAAGCTTCTTAATTTTTAAAACAAATGACTAGGGTTCAAGCCTTTTAACTTACATTTTCTTTAAAATATGTGCATAATAATGTAATATGTATAATAAAGTCATTAATTAGCATAAGTAAAGAGGTGGATTAGTGGTAATTAACTAATCTTGAAAATAAGAGGTCTTGAATTCAAATCTTGTTAACAACATTTTAAAATTTCACTTATGTATGGACCCAAGCGGTTCCATGAAACCGGGACTGGTTCATCGGCTTTCCGATTCAACCGGCCAGTCAGCCAGTTCTCAGCGGGTTTTGAGCAAGTCCGGTTATTGGGGTATGACCAAACCGGTTAGGACCCTGGGTCATGGTTCAACCGGCCGGTCTTGTTCGGTTTTCTAAACACTACCAAAGATTTTATCTACCAATCATTCAAGTCTGTTCTAAAAGGGGGTTCCTTACACATTCTCCATTTGAAATCTGCATATGGTCTGCAACTCGCACTTCCTTGTCAACTACTATCACAAAAAGTTCCAGAAATTCATCTTTCAAGAGATGATTTCTGCACCAGCAGTCCTTCCAGAACCTAAGCTTGGTTCCCCTTCCCACTTCAAACTTAATTTCCTTGCTAAAGTCTAAAGAAACTGTGGTATTTTTTTAAATCCCTTTCCATACCAATTATTCTAAAAGATAATGTGCATGGCATTCAACTTGAAAAGTTTGTGATTCCTTGTTGCCAAATCTTCACAATCTCAATCAATCACATTTCAGAGATTGTACTTTCTAGTCATCCAGAGTTCTGAATATATCCACAGAGTTCCTACATGCATACTAAGCTTTTTTTATTATGTTCCTAAATATTTTTTATTTATTTTCAATCAAAATCTAACTATGAGATGGACTTAAAAAAAAAAGATCAAAGACTCGACCTTTTCATCTATTTCTTTGGTCTTCTCCCGTAATGTTCGAAAAGAAGTCTTTAATGACATCTGGTGATTGTTGAGACCCTGAATGTTCTGACGTAACTCTTTGACTTGGGCATCTACTTCCAGAACTAAAGGTTGCTCTCTTTCTCTTGCTTCTCTGTGCTCCAAAATTTCCATGTTCTTCTGCAAGGCCGAAACACTAGTAACTTCTAAAGAACACTTGATCAAATAGAATGATTAATTGATTTTCAGTAACATTAACCTAGGCTGTACCTGTGAAATCTGTGTCTCCAATTCCTGCCGCCGCACTTCATCAAAATTCACTTGATCAAAAACTTTTTGAATGTCATTCAATTTTGTTGTCCTGGAGTATTTAAGCAAGTGGCAAATATAAAAATGAATAGCTCAATTTTAAACATAAGAAGAGTAAGATGGGATAAAATAAATATATTGTTCAAATAAGATCAATATAACTTCCTTCTTTTCTCCTTTTTTTTTGATAAATAAAAGTTCATTAAGAATTCATTATCAACAAAAGATAAAGACCGTTACAAGCATCCCAACGAGAGGGGCGAGGTGTAGTCTCACCCCTTAAAAAAAACAGCACAAAGATTACAATTGGGCCCAATACAACTGATCCCTAGTTACTCGTTTGGCTAAACAATCAACAAATAAATTAGCCTCCTTTCCCACCCATTGAATGATTAAATTCATATTTTGTGTTGCCCATTTGAATTCCATCAATTCATTTCTATAGCACCTTATCATTGAATCTGTATTTCTAGGCCAACCCACCACCATTTTGGAGTCCCCTTCTATCACCAAACACTCCACACCTATCTCTCTTGCAATCTATGCACCTTGTAGGACTGCATACAGTTCAGCCCTTAAAGAGTCTCCACTCCCCATCGGTCCTACTGCACTGAACTAGAAGCTACTGAAGAATAATGTTTCAAATCATAAATTCCACTTTTTCTATTCTTCTATCAAAGCCTAGTTATACAAAGAGAAAGCACATTAGAATTGGCAACCCTCAGTCTCGACCAATGATTTCAAAGGCGCACCTAGGCGCACAGGCGAAGCGCATTCAGCGTTTTAAAAGCGCAAGGCGCAAAAAAAAAAAAAAAGCAAGGGCCAATTTGTGCCTAAGGTGCAAGGCGCAAGGTGAGACGCGCGCCTTTTTAAGCAAGACGCAAAACTACAAAAAAGTTAAAAAAATAAAAAAAAAGTCAAAATATCCAAAAGAAAATGCAAAAATTCAAAAAATATTAAACATAATGTTAATAAAAATATAAACTTAAATTTTAAAATAAATTTTTTAAAAAACCTATTATCTAAAATTAAAATACATAAACATAACATGTAAAGCGTATTCAAATGAAAATTTAAAAATAAAAGCAAACATATAAAGCATTTTCAAGCATGTAAAATCCACAGTCTCTTTTTTTCCATAATTGCATTGCTTCAAATAGCTAATGTGATGTAAAACATATTGCATTCTTGATTCTATGAGTCACCTTTGTACCACGCCCCTCAAGGCAAGCCTGAACAAGCCTATGTTAGGGTTTGAAATTCTCACCGAAGTTCCGAGAACCCCTTATTTGCTAATGTTGTTCATTCATTCATTGCAATAAAATATCTTCTTAAAAGGCAATGAAAGTTATAAAATCATTATTTTTTATATGAGAAATAAGAATTTCAAACCCTAACATAGACTTGTTCGGGCGCCTCGAGGGGCGTGGTTGGGGTCCAGGGGCGGAGCCCCTGGCCCAACCGTTAGACTCAATAAAAGCAAAAAGTGCAAAATTTTAAAAAGGCGCACGCCTCGACTGAGGTGCAAGGTGCATTAAACGCACGCCGGTGCGCCTAGGACCTGGGCAAAGCGCATACCCCAAAATGTGCCTCGCCTGTGCGCCTAGGCGCGCCTTTTAAATCATTGGACACATTTTAGGGTAGGTGCCTTGCCCAGGTCCTATGTGCAATACTTTCAAAAGGCGCACACCTAGTTCGCCTAGGCGTGCATCTTTTTGAAAATTTTACGTTCTTTTTGCTTTTTTTGAACCTAGTAGCTAGGCCGAGGGCTCCGCCCTGGACCCCCAACCACGCCCCTCGAGGCAAGCCCAAACAAGTCCATGTTAGGGTCTTAAATTCTTAATTCTCACACAAAAAATAATGATTTTATAATTTTAATTACCTTTTAAGAAGATATTTTATTTAAGATGAATGAATGAACAACATTAGAAAATAAGAGATTTTCGGGCGCAAATTGGCCCTTACGCCTTGCACTTGTAAAACATTGTTCCCAACTGACACTTTCTTTTTTTGTATTTTGAAAAAATACATCAAGGCATTGTACACTAGGAATATACAAGAGAAAAATCTAGCCAGTATTGGTGTTCATAAAAAGAGTATTGGTATCAGAAAAAGAGGTGTTTAAGGCACACCTTGTAAACAATCTGTGAATCACTCAATCACTGGCCATGTGCATAGTTATTTTCAAAATTTGTGTATTTCTTTCTTTTAACATAGACCATAACATCCCAATTGCAATAAATCCCCCAAACAAGCTTGCCTCTTTTGCTTAGCCCATTCAAATACCACCCATGGAGTAAGAATTCAACCAATTCAGGAAACAACCTTTCACACCAAAGCATGATATGAAGAAACCCACAACCTCCTGAATCCACTTTCTTTTCAGAATTTCAGTTGCATGCCCAACCTAATTAACTAAGTCCTATTTTGAGGTGGGTATTTTCTCCACAAGTTGGTAAAAACCTAACATGACCTTATCAATAACTGAACAAATCCAGCTATCCACCATTTTATTCTTTGCTTAGGTTGAACTCAACTAAGGAATGGACCAGGTTTGAGTTGGTGACTATCCACAATGTCATCACAAGCCACGTACAAAGATATGGTCAGCTTCTTGAAGAAAAGACTGCCTGTTTATATGTATGTTTCATATGCATGACCAAGAATGAGCAAAAATCCAGCGCAGAAGCAAAAATTTTGCATCACTTAGAAACATTATCAGTCTGATAAAATTATTGACATTCTCATTTGTAATTCAGACTGCTGCACTTTCATCCTTCTTTTTCTTCTAACTCTCCGAGAAAATGCTACTGATCAGCCAGTAAGGACTATTCTCGGAAGGCTACTTCATTTTGGGTTGTAACGCATAAAAGTTTATCTTTTTGTCTTCACATACAGCAGTTGAACAAAGATAAGAACTCAAAACAAAATTCTGGAAAAGCACACCTGTAAAGGAAGAAATTAAGTATGGCACTCAGGAACGCAGTTGTGCGGTGCGTATCCGGCTTTACGAGGTCCCTGAAGATGAAATTTATTGGACAACTAACCGCATCCACTAGTTCCGTCATCTTGCGGAACAAATTCGAGGCCCGAACCGAATCAACATGATAATCTGGATTCTCCAACTGCTCCAAAGCACTGAAATCTACTTGTCCGTGATCCTCCCTGCAAAAAGGAGAACCACAAAAACGACAAACCATTAAAAAAGTGGAAGAATGTAAACCAGGATTAGGGTTTAGGGTTTAGGATGTACTGGAGAGGATCGATGTAGACCAGAATGTTCATGTAGAGAGCAGTAACGAGATCAGAATTTGGGTTAATGAGATCCTCTTCTCTGAGGTTTGCAATCTGATACTCTGAGAGGATTTGAACGATATCTTTGCGAGGGATGAGATCGGCAGAGAACGATGATGCCATTTCCCACTGTAGCTGTTTGACGTTTCCCGCGCTCCAAATGGGTTTCGTTCATTTAAACGTAATAGTCAAAATTGCAGACAGTGATAATCTCATCCCATCTATAACAATCCCATTAATAGATGATCATAAGCGTAAAAAAACATAGCCCAGATTTCGCCGATTAGAGAATTTGTTCATGGGTCGGGCTTGCCCGAGCCCAAGCCCAAAGCCCGATTTAACAAAATGATTATCCCTCGTTAAGTCGGGCTCATGGTGATAGCAACGTTAAACAGCCCGGCCCTTAACAGACATTCAATGTATTATTCCTTTAAATAGGTCGCTTTCAGCTCATAGTGATAGCAATAGAGGCGGAATGCCTAGAATCATTTCTATAGATGTAATGGAGACGTGGGCTAGTTAGCAGAAGACAAAAAAGATCTATATAGAATTTAATGGTTTTTGGAAATAAACTATAAATTTGTTGTAACCACCGGAAACAGAGAGATAGAGAGAGGAAGATAACGAGAGAGAGTCAACAACGGGTAGAGAACTTGTTCATGGGTTGAGCTTTTATTCTTCATTAACAGAATTTTTTCAGGCCCGAGCTCAAGCCCAGCCCTCATAAAAAGCCCGAAGCCCGACCTAACAAAATGATTATCCCTTGTTAGGTCGAGTTCATGGTGATAGCAATGTTCAATAGCCCAACCCTTAACAGACATTCAATGTATTATCCCTTCAAATAGGTCGCTTATCAACTCATGGTGATAGCAATAGAGGCAGAATGCCTAGAATCATTTCTGTAGATGTAATGGAGACGTGGGCTAGTCAATAGAAGGCAAAAAAGCTCTACATAGAATTTAGTGGTTTTTGGAAATAAACTGCAAACTTGTTGTAACCGCCGGAGACAAAGAGACAGAGAAAGGACGATAACAAGAGAGAGAGGGAGAGAGAGAGAGAGAGAGAGAGGACCTAGTTAGTGGTTACTGCCGGAGACTGAGAGATAAAGAGAGGAAGATAACGAGAGAGAGAGAGTCAACGACGAGTAGAGAACTTGTTCATGGGTCGAGCTTTTACTCTTCATTAACATAATTTTTCAGGCCCGAGCCCAAGCCTGACCCTCATAAAAAGCCCGAAGCCCGACCTAACAAAATGATTATCCCTTGTTAGGTCGAG